GAACCTTGAAGGCACCAGGACCGCATCATGGCTGATAGGGGACCGACTCTAAGTTAGCATCTGAGGTTTCGAGACGTCTGACGGAACGTGAGATTGCGTCTGATACTGAACGAGCGTCTGGTACCAGCGTCTGGCGTTTCGAGTCGGGGTCGTAGGAGGCGGCCTTCTAGACAGGCAGACGGACTATGTCTGAGTTTGGGTCGCAATCAACCTCTGAACCATTGTGAACCGCTCACTACACATACGTTCAGTCACTCTCGGCCCGAAAATGGAGCCCCTTTCCTCCCCTGGCCTCCCGTTTCCTCACAGTTCATTACACCCTAATCGTTTGCTTTATGGTTTCTCAACTGCGGACCCTACGTCAGCCTTTCCGCCGTGGCAATGGTTTCCAGGTCAGGCCGGACTGATTTCTGCTCCTGACATAAGACATGGAGCTCCGAATCACTCGCGCGTCAGAGGCGACACGTTGGAAGGAGGAGGTTCTGCGTAGGACTAAGTTCTTCTCCTCTACCCTTGCATCTGGTGCAGGGAGTACCTGCCGCGTTTCAGAGCCAGGGGTGCAGCACCCTGCTCATTGTGGTGCACTTATCCTTGTTCCTTATCGTTGTTCCTGAAGGCATTGTTTCTGTACTGTACTGTGCCATGACCAGCTATGGTGCGTGTGAAATGCGTGGTGTCTAAAGTTTCACTGGCTTACGTCGCGGCACCGATTTGTATTGCTCCAATCCGTTCTTTACTCAAGACACACCGTACTGTACCTTCTTGTGACGTCCCCGAAGTCACAGAAATGCGAAATTAGACACCTCCTGGAAGGGTGTGCAATGTCATTTCTAGCACTTGCCAGCTCTGGTGTCACGTCAATACACTCACACGACGACAAGCGGCCGTATAGTTGTCGGTTTCATCCCAAACCAGTTTTGGTGATGGGTAGGGGTTCGCGAGGAGGGGGCGTGGGGTGGGGGGCTTTTAATAGAGCTTCTTGGCATTGGGGTTTTGCTGGCGCTTAGTTCGAAACCTCGCAACCAGAAACCAGGACATAAATGTCACTCATGTGTACCCCTTTGAAATGCACTTTGCGACGCTATCAAAACGGCGCCTGAACTTCAATGCATACAGGCAGCACCTTGCCGAGCAGGGACCTCCAGCACACTGCGTACCAGCGAGCAACCTGGGCGCAATCTCGGAGACAGCAACCTCGGTTCGGAGCAGGCCTAGCTAGCCAGAATCTATGGGCTGGTGCACGGCCCGTCAAGGATAACCGTTTGTGTGTGCAATTCTCCTTCACGATAAGCACACACACGTGTGCAACCTGACTGGCGGCGAGGCAGTGACGCCGCCAGCCTGAGTGGCACAAAACCTGCCACGCCACCATTACAGCCAACCAACGATTTGGTAGTGGTGGCTTCATTGGCTGTAGAAGTACACTTAGACCGCGGTAATTTGAAACCCTGAAACTGGGCGGCAAAATATTTGTTTTGTTTCCACCCTGACCATTTCTGAGTGCGTAGACATTCCCCCTTGTCCATACGGCCTAAGCTTTTAAGACTCCACGCGGGCAAAAACTTTGAGCACTGCCTAAGCTGATGTCGGATTTCCTGACTCGTCAAACACTAAATCGAGCAGTAAACGTTTCGTACAGAAACCCAAGTTCAAATTGTTTTTCAAGGGTATCCGGATCTGCTCTTCAGGAGCTGCTTTCGGGGGGTAAATACTTTCTTAGCGGCACCCTCTGTGAAAATACTGGGTGTAAAAATACCGCAGTCTAAGTGTATTTTCGGCCCGATTCAGTCTGAATGTATGTACACAAAATTGCACTAAGAATGCGGGTAGAGATGTATACAAGCGTTTTTTTTATCTTCAATTGGTGAATTGTAGGTAAGCATGAGGGTCCACCCAACACTTAGTTAACCATTTCTTATTTTCATTATGGATTAAAACTGAATTGAAATGCAATATTCTACCCTTATAGCCGTACCAAGCATACTGCGCTACTCCAATAGAGCTAACTAGCTGGTCTAGGTGTATCTGAATAATTTAGCTATGGGTTCCAACATGAACACACGTTGTTCTATTGTTTCTATGTATCTCAACCATGAGAGAATGTAGCAAGTTGCCATTATTTTTCAATGTAAGTGTGTGAAGTGTACTATCTCCAAAACATCGTATCAGGACATTCAGGGTCATGCCCATTCAGCATGGACCACCACACCACACACACCAGTCATTGGACGCCTCCCCTGAATGCCACATGGGGTTTTCCAAGCCGGTTCGTCTAGAAACAACGCATCATCTCGGCGACGCGTAAATTGAGTTCAAGACGCCAGATTCACCCAACCTGCAGCAACTTGAACTCTGAATATGGCACTCTGAATAGGGCGAGCGATATGGCACTCTGAATTGCTGCTGCGCGTACCACGGAAGTCCGCGAGGTGATTGATAATATCGAGCGGGTAGGGTTCTGTGCGCTTTCGAGAATCAGCAGCACGACTTACAGAAGGCGGAGATACAGGAGCGGATATCGTTCTGTACTGTACTGCTTTCCGTCCAGCGGGGAGGCGCAACCCAGGGGGGCTCTGGGGGGGAGGTGATGAGGATAGGTAGAAACCCTAATGCGTGCTGCAGAGTGCTCGAATGGCTGCAGCATTGGTTCCGTTCCGTGAGTCGCGCGCGACGCGTCCCTGATCACACCTGCTGACGTGGCTCGGAGAGCGACAACACGATGCGAGGCACGGCGCTGGAACAGCATTGCACTCGGGCGCTGCGACGCTGACGCTGCGACGCTGCGACGCTGTCCTACTGCGCTGTACATTACAGCTACTGGGGTCACTGGAGCATTTTGGCTAGCACACCCACTGTAGCACAGCGTAGCACTCGAAAAGGATACAGTACACGTGGCTGGTCGCTACTCAGGCCTTCTTCTGCCTCCGTCTCGCAACGGGCCGCCGAGATTCACTCATTCAAACCTTCACTAACGAGGTTCTTTCAGCGAAGCGCGTCCCCCCCAGTTCGCGTCCCCCTTTTTTCGCGTCTCCCCGTTTCCCCTTTACGCGCGTCCGCCACTGCCATTCCGCTGCACATGTGCGGTTGGAGTCACCGCGCAAAGGCAGAACGAGGCGCAACGGACGACGGAGGTGCTACTGCTGCTGCTGCCGCTGCTGCTGCCGCTGTTGCCGCTGCTGCGACGAGCGAGACAGAGAGTCATTTGTCCGTCGCCGACGTGCGACTTAGTTGGAGGCTATAGACGAGACGACTCGGAGTAATCCAGGCTTTACTTAGCAACTCGCAGCGTCGCGGCAAATCAGAGACGCGGCCTTAGTTGGAGGCTATAGACGAGACGACTCGGAGTGTCGGATTACATTCAGGTCGGACCTTTCGATCGTTGGGTCAGATACCCCCCCCCCCCCTCTTCTGATCGCGCACACGAAGCCGCCATGATTCTGGCCCCCGTATCATCCCGCTCCCTTCCCCTTGCCGCATACTAGCAGCCTCCGCGGGATAGCTCTCGCCGCCAGAGAGCCTCCGCCGCCTCCGCCGCCTCCGCCGCCTCCGCCACCTCCGCCGAAGACCCGCCGCTGCCCTCCGCCGGATAGCCCTCTGCTGCCTCCGCCTCCTCCTTCCCCCCCTCCATCCCCCGCGACGTACCTTCCCGGCTTTCCTAAGAAGGTTCTCGTTCTCGAATCTGGTCGCCCCCCTTTTTCATCCGAAACTTCCGCTCCCTGGAGTGGGTGCAGTAGGAGCCGGTTTGGCGGCCGGAGTAGAGCTTCTTCCATGTGAAACACGCTTGGTGAGCAAGCGTCTTCGAGATACATAATCAGCGTCGCAAGACTCCCCTGCGACGCTCTCTCCCTGCGAGGCTCCCTGCGAAACTCGTACCAGGAGTTGTTCGGCGACGACTACTCAGCACAACAGCGGCATCAGCAGCAGCAGCAGCAGCCGCAGCAGCCGCATTTAGTTTTGAGACTCCCATCAGCCGCATCAGCAGCATCAGAAAGTGTCATCTGGCTGGAAAGTGCCGGTGAATTCCAGCATCAGAGCGTCATCTCTTACCCTTTATTCACTGAGAGATTCATTTCCGCGAGACGCTTCATTCGGATTCCATGGCAGATGAAAGAATGCCTGACACACGCGCGCACGTGCTCCCATGATCCCCATTCCAGTCTAATCGCTACCAGTACGTCCAGCCGCCTTGCTTGGGTCGATAGGTCTCCGTTTCACCAGGCTCGCCCTTCCTTTCAGGAGGCGTCTCATTCCGACCTCAATGGGTAACCATTAGCAGGCTCCCTCCGTTTACTCAAGCCACTAGCTTCGTTGGATTAGAGCGCGAGGCCAAGCTTAGAGCGCGAGGTCCTCCAACGAGACTATCCCAAGGTCTTTAAATCTGCTCGAGCGGCCTTCTTCTCCTGGAGAAATCGCCCCCTTGCTCGTTCCTTGACAACCCCTCGGTTTCTCCGCCATTCCGCCCATGCCCTCTATGCCGCTGATGCCGCGAAATCTGCCGCCGTCCCTGCTGCTGCTGCGGCTGCCGTCAAAACACCCGAGGCTGCGGCTGCCGATGATGCCGACAATGGCAATGCTGCTGCTGCTGCTGCTCGTCTTGCTGCCCTCCTGTTCTCTTGTGCTCGGCGCCGGGGTTGACTCTATCCGAGGTTCTACAAACGGGGGAAGGTCCGATGCCGTGTTGCGTCAGGCAAATGCGACGGCTTCGAATGTGACAATACCGGAGGTGACAGCATGGGACGTGACTATGCCGAATGTGACAGTAACGAGAGAGGACGGGCTCCAGCCAGAGAGGGCGGCGGCGGCGCATGAGACGGCCTCTGTGAGAGCAGTGGAAGGACCGGGTGTGATTGTAAAGAGGGGGAACGGGAGCGAGACCGGTGGGGCTCTGCGCCAGTCTGGAGCGCACGGAACAGAATTTCCGAAAACCCTCCGGGTGGCGGGAGTGAGTGAAACGAGCGGGCGAGGCAGGCACGGGGGGCTGTTTGGCCGGTTCCACTCGTTTCTGGTGTCGCCTCTGCAGGGCGCCCATAGCACCAGCGACCATGGCGGAAGCAGCAACAGCAGCCACAGACGCAGTAGCAGCAGCAACAGTGGTATCTTCGGTAGCAGTCCCAGCAGCACCAGCAGCAGCAGCAGCAACAACAGCAGTAGCAGCAGCAGCAGCGAGAGCAGCATATTCACGTGTCCACTGCTTCCCCTGTTGCCGGTGTCTAAGCCCACTGCCGCATGGCTGGGGGACAAGAGATGGCCGGTAAGCACCCCTCTCCCTCTCCCTCTCCCTCTCCCTCTCCCCCTCCCCCTCCCTCGCCCGTGGCTCCCCTTTTTCAGCCTTTCGTGCTCTGCTCGGCCCTCGAGTCGTGCTGGCGGCGGGGCTTATCTCTCCCTCGTGCGACGGAAGCAGCTATCGCGAATGCATGCTGACTGGAATGCTGGGGACACTTGTTTCCACTGCACAGCCATTGTCCCCATACCCAGCTCTCTCCCGATTTCTCAAGTCTTCTCCCCCTTTCCCCTTTTCTCCCCCGTTCCCCCTTTCTCCCCCGTTCCCCCTTTCTCCCCCGTTCCCCCTTTCTCCCCCGTTCCCCCTTTCTCCCCCGTTCCCCCTTTCTCCCCCGTTCCCCCTTCCTCCCCCTTCCCCCCCACCCACAACAGCCGTTCGTGTTCGGTCCCCGGGTCGTGCTAGCGGGCATTATTTCTCTGGTGGGAGCAGCTCTCGCCAATGCAGGGGGGGTGGGCGGAGGCGGGCTGTTCGTGCCCATGTTCAACCTGCTGTTAGGCTACGACGCCAAGACGTCCACTGCTCTGTCTAAATGTGAGTCATACCACCTGCTCTCAAGTGTACCTGGTTCGTTCGTGTATGCACCCTCACTGCTACGGCTCTTCGTCCTCATGTTCAACCTGCTGCCGGGTCACGACGCCAAGACGTCCACCGCTTGATCCAAGTGTAAGTTGAGTCACCTGCTTGAGTGTGTGAACACTAAACCCTGAACACTTCTCTCAAGTGCGTGTCAAGTGCCCCACTCATATCGCTGTTCGGGCCCATGTTTAATCTGCTGCCGGGCCACGACGCCAAGACGTCCACCGCTTTATCTAAATGTGAGTAAGCACGTCTGCTCTGCTGATGTGCCTGTCAAGTGCTCCACTGACGTAGCTGTCTGTGCCCCTTTACAAAGTCCTCTCTCCCCATGTTAAACCTGCTGCTGTGTTACGATGTGACGACATCAATGGCTTTATCCAGCTGTGCTTACACTCTCCCAAGGCTTGTGTTGACTGCCTCGCTCCTAAGTCGTCTGTTCCCTTCTTTTGCTGGCTTTTATTCGCCTGTTATTCGCCTGTTCTCAAGGCTTTTATTCGCCTGTTCCCATGGCTTTTATTCGCCTGTTCCCAAGGCTTTTATTCGCCTGTTCCCATGGCTTTTATTCGCCTGTTCCCAAGGCTTTTATTCGCCTGTTCCCATGGCTTTTATTCGCCTGTTCCCAAGGCTTTTATTCGCCTGTTATTCGCCTGTTCCCAAGGCTGTTATTCGCCTGTTCCCAAGGCTTTTATTCGCCTGTTCCCATGGCTTTTATTCGCCTGTTCGCCTCACTCCTAAGTCGTCTGTTCCCTTCTGGTGTTGGCTTTTATTCGCCTGATAGGCTTTTATTCGCCTGATATGCTTTTATTCGCCTGATAGGCTTTTATTCGCCTGATAGGCCTTTATTCGCCTGATTGGCTTTTATTCTCCTGATAGGCTTTTATTCGCCTGATAGGCTTTTATTCGCCTGATAGGCTTTTATTCGCCTGATAGGCTTTTATTTGCCTGATAGGCTTTTATTCGCCTGATAGGCTTTTATTTGCCTGATAGGCTTTTATTCGCCTCATAGGCTTTTATTCGCCTCATAGGCTTTTATTCGCCTCATAGGCTTTTATTCGCCTCATAGGCTTTTATTCGCCTCATAGGCTTTTATTCGCCTCATAGGCTTTTATTCGCCTCATAGGCTTTTATTCGCCTCATAGGCTTTTATTCGCCTCATAGGCTTTTATTCGCCTCATAGGCTTTTATTCGCCTGATAGGCTTTTATTCGCCTGATAGGCTTTTATTCGCCTGATAGGCTTTTATTTGCCTGATAGGCTTTTATTCGCCTGATAGGCTTTTATTTGCCTGATAGGCTTTTATTCGCCTCATAGGCTTTTATTCGCCTCATAGGCTTTTATTCGCCTCATAGGCTTTTATTCGCCTCATAGGCTTTTATTCGCCTCATAGGCTTTTATTCGCCTCATAGGCTTTTATTCGCCTCATAGGCTTTTATTCGCCTCATAGGCTTTTATTCGCCTCATAGGCTTTTATTCGCCTCATAGGCTTTTATTCGCCTGATAGGCTTTTATTCGCCTGATAGGCTTTTATTCGCCTCATAGGCTTTTATTCGCCTGATAGGCTGGCATAACTCCCACTTTCCCCTTACCCCATCCCCTCCCCTCCAGCCATGATTATGAGAGGCGCCATCGCCAGTGTGTGTTTCAACGTGCAGCTGAAGCACCCCACGTTCGACCAGCCCCTGATAGAGTACGGCTTGGCGCCCCTCATGCAGCCAACGCTGCTGCTGGGGATGAGCCCCTGATAGAGTACTGGATGGCACAACTCCTTTCTTTCCCCTTACCCTCCACCCTTTCCCCTTCATCTTCTTTCCCCCCACCCCCTCCCCACCCCCGCCCCCCGGCCCTCCTTCCCCAGCCATGATTATGGGAGGCGCCATCGCCAGCGTGTGCTTCAACGTGCAGCTGAAGCACCCCACGTTCGACCAGCCCCTCATAGACTATGGCTTGGCGCGCCTCATGCAGCCAACGCTGCTGCTGGGGATCAGCCTCGGGGTCACATGCAACGTTATATTCCCGCCATGGCTCATCACTGTTATGCTCTTCCTGCTTCTGCTCCGTGAGTATGCATGTGTGTGCATGCGTCTGTGGTACATGCTTGTGCATGCGTCTGTGCTACATGCTTGTGCATGCGTCTGGTACACATGCCATACATAGCGATTCGTGCTGCAGCCGACTCTGCTGCTGGGCTGGGGATCACATGCAGCGTGATCTTCCCTCCCTGGCTCATCACGTCATGCTCTTCCTGCTGCTGCTTCGTAAGTATGCATGTGCATGCACTGGTGTATGCTTGCTGCATAAATGCCGTGCCGCGCCTTCCTGCTGCTGCTGGGGATCAGCCTCCGGGTCACCTGGAACGTCGAATTTCCTCCCCGGCTCATCACTGTCATGCTCTTCCTGCTGCTGCTGTGTGAGTGCTGTTGTGATGTGCACTCATTTTTCAGTGTATCTCGGCTGCCATACATGCCATACATGCCATATATGCCATACATACCATACATACCAACACCCCACCCCATGCATGCAGTGATGACGTACAAGACGCTGGACAAGGGTGTGGCCATGTGGACGAAGGAGTCACAAGTAGCGCATCAGGTGAGTTTCAGGTCAGGTGAGTCTCAGGTGGCCCATCAGGTGAGTCTCAGGTGGCCCATCAGGTGAGTCTCAGTTGGCCCACCAGGTCAGCACAGCATTAGTCTCCCAAGGTCAAACACAGGAGGATAGAGTTCAACACTGGTCAAAACGAAAGGTCAACATAGGTCAACATGGGTCAACGCAGGTCAACACGGGCCAACACAGGTCACCACAGGTCAGCACAGGTCAGCACAGTAACATGCGTTAGTAGCACAGTAACTTTCTCATTGCTTCCTCAGATAGGGGCATTTCCCCTCCCCCTCTCCTGGCCGTTTCCCCTCTCCATGGTCCTCACTCCCACCCCTCTGCTGCTGCTTTCTAGCGATTCCCACTCACCTCCCCACTCACCTCCCCACTCACCTCCCCACTCTCCTCCCCACTCTCCTCCCCACTCACCTCCCCACTCATCTCCCCACTCCCTCCCCACTCACATCCACCCTCCCTTTCTCATGGTTCCCCTCAACCATTCGGTCCCATTTCTCCTTTTCTCCTCTCTTCCCTTTCTCCCTCCCTCCACCCCTCCAGCACTCAGCAGTGCGAGCAACTCCCCTCCCCTCCTTCAGTGATGCCTGTGAGTGCGTACATGCGCATGCACATGCACTCATGCGTTTAAGAGGCGATAGGTTGGCTGAATCATGATCGTGTGCCATGTTTGTTTGGCGAACTCCGGTAATCACGTCGTCTTCCATGCGTTCATGCCCACATGTCCACATGCGCTCATGCGTTCGTGCCTCCACGGCCCAGTTGTATTTCATTTACCCCCCAGTTTTACTTGCGACGAAGCCATCGGTTGTCCATTTACCCCAGATTCCACCTCATTGTCGTAAGAGCTAAGGTTAAATGCTGCCCAGGGCATATGACGGACCTCCCCTCCAGGGCATATGACGGACCTCCCCTCCAGGGCATATGACGGACCTCCCCTCCAGGGCATATGACGGACCTCCCCTCCAGGGCATATGACGGACCTCCCATCCAGGGCATATGACGGACCTCCCATCCAGGGCATATGACGGACCTCCCCTCCCTCCAGCCCTTCCCTTTCTTTCCCCTCGCCCCCCCCCTTTCCCCCCAGCCCAGCACCTCCCTCCCCTCCCCCTGGTTCCATGTGGTTTGCTTCTCTGCCCTGCACTGCACGAGTCCTGCAACGTCTGTTTCGGAATCTGATCTGTGCTTCCTTCCGTCTTCCCCTCTTCCCCTCTTCCCCTCGCATCTCCCCACCTGTCCCCCTCCACCCCCCTCCAGACCACTCCTCCCCCCCCACCCCCCACCCCTGGCGCCCCCTCCCCGACCCATCGTCCTGCGCCTGCTCCCCTCACCACCTCCCTCCCCTCCTCCTGGTCCGATATCCTTCGCTTCTCCACCCTGCACGAGTTTTATGCAGAGGCCACCAGGGGCAATCGACCTTTTGCTCCTCCCCCCTTGGTCCCCCTACTCCCCTCCCACCCCCCCACCTGCCCAACCCCCCTCTCTCCCCCCCCCAACACTCCCCCCCACAGCTCCACCTCCCCGCCCCATCCCGCGTCTGCTCCCCTTGGACCGCACCACGTCACTGCCCTCCGCCTGGTCTCATGTGATGCGCTTCCCCTCTCTGCTTCAGCTGTTTGCAAGACAAATCATAGCCAACTCACATGTCCCCCCCCCCACCCCCCCCTTCCTCCCCCCCCCAGCACCCCCTCCCCGCCCCATCATCCCCCGTCTGCTCCCCTCGGACCGCACCACGTCACTGCCCTCCTCCTGGTCCGACGTCATGCGCTTCCCTTCCGTGCTGCACCACTACGACTCTACCCGCGCGCTCTTCGACTGCGAGAGCGTGGGCGAGCCGGCAGAGGCCAGCCAACATGGGGCTGTGGGGTACCAAGGCTTGGCGCGGCGGGGCGTGTTTGGGTTCGAAAGCGAGACTCACTATGAGGGGATGCCGGGGTTGGGTCGAGGTACGGGACCGGGGGTGTTTGAGCATGGGAGGCATTCCATAAGCGGTGTTCCTGGTGGTGCTGACATCAGCATCAGCACCAGCACCGCCGCAACGTCCACTGCCACCAGCAACACTGCCACTGCCAGTGGCAACAACACCAACACCAACAGCAGCAGCGGTCGCACGATCCTGGGTTCAAACGAGCCGATGATCCCCTCAGTGTTCGTCAGCCCCAGCGCAGGAGGGCTGAGCCCTCGCGCCGGGAGTTACGGCCGGGGAAGCGGCAGCGCCGGCAGGGTTGGCGGCGGGTTTGGCTTATCCGCCGCCCTTTCTGCTGCTTCGGCTGTCGCTGCTGGAGTTCTGGATGGTGATGATGACGATGATGGTCTCGGTGGTGCTGGTGCCGGTTCAGGGTTTTTCTCAGGTGAATTCAACAGAGGGGTGCGTGTGGGCATGCCAGTGCAGGGGCTCTTAGATGTGGAGGCAGGTGAAATGGAGGATGAAGCAGCAGAGGGGAGGAGGGAGAGGGAGAGCGAGAGGGAGAGGGAGAGGGAGAGGGAGAAGAGGGCTGAAGGGAGGGAGGCGGAGAGGCCCGAGCAGCAAGCCTCCAACCCTGCTGCTGCTTCAGGGTCTGATTCTGCTACTCAGGGCCCCTCCTTGGTCCCTGCTGCTTCAGGGGGTCTCACCACCCCACTGTTGCAACCAGAGGCACCAGCTCCAGGAGTAGCAGGAGCAGGAGGCAAGTCTGCAGGACGCACTAAAAGTCTTATGGAAGAGCTACACTTTGGAGCGCCATTGGAGGTAAGATGAGGGTGATGCTTAGGCTAAGAGTGGCTCTTTGGCTAGGTGCTTAGGCTAAGAGTGGCTTAGGCTAAGAGTGGTACTTAGGCTAAGAATATTGCTCAGGCCATGAGTGGTGCTTAGCCTGAGCAGCAGGTGGCCAAGCAGCACACAACCGACTGCACCGCGCCCTACTGGCTGCTGCTCCACTCAACACCCCTCCCTCCCTTTGCTCTCCCCCGCTTTCCTCGCCTCCTCTCTTCTCCCCTCCCTCGGCTCCCCCCTCGTTCTCCCCTCGTTCTCCCCTCGTTCTCCCCTCGTTCTCCCCTCGCTCTCCCCTGGCCTTTCCCCTGGCAGGCCTCCCTCTTTCAACTGGTCGACTGGGTGTCAGTGCTCGAGCTGCTGGTGGTGTGGGGTGTCTTCCTGGCGGTGCAGGTGGCCAAGCAGCACACGGCGGACTGCAGCGCGCCCTACTGGCTGCTCAACCTGCTGCAGGCTCCCGTCGCTCTGCTCGCCACGTTCATCGGCGCCTGGCGCCTCTACAAGCGCTCCCACCCCTCGGCGTCCCGCTCGTCCCGCGCGCACGGCCAGGGGGGCAGGGGCGGGCGAAGCAGGCAGAATAGCGCTGCTGATGGTGCTGCTGGTGGTGCTGGTGCTGGTGCATTAGAGCGCCAAACTCAGATTCAGAATCCCAGCCAAAGTCAGCAGCAGCAGCAGCAGCAGCAGCAGCAGCAGCAGCAGCAGCAGCAGCAGCAGCAGCAGAGGCAGGGGCATGGGCATGGGCACGGCACCGGCGCCTACCACTCGACCCATTGGGGCATGCAGCAGCTGCTGGGGTACCCTTTCTGCTCCTTCGTTGCTGGCGTCATGGGCGGGCTGCTGGGGATAGGAGGCGGCATGGTCATGGGGCCAGTCTTGCTCGAACTCAACTTGCCACCCCAGGTGGGTCCTTGTAGGTTGTATGCTGTTCCCCCCCCCTCGTTGCTAGGCATCGGGGGCGGCATGGTCATTGGGCCAGTCTTGCTCGAACTCCACCTGCCTCGCCAGGTGGTGGGCCATCCTGTGTCCTCCTGACAAAAGTTTCTGTTGCTTGTACGATGCCCCCCCCCCCACCAACTCATCCCCCCCATGCTCCCCCCACCAACACTTCTCCCCCTGGCAGGTGACAGCAGCGACCACCACCTTCATGGTCGTCTTCTCCTCCTCCCTCTCAGTGCTCGAGTTCTACCTGCTCGGCCGCATCCCCATCGAGGTCGCTCTAGTATTTGCAGGCATCGCCATGTTTGCAGCCTTCTCCGGCCTCTCCATCGTGCGAGCCATCGTCATGCGCTACGGCAAGCCCTCCGTGATCATTTTCGCACTCGGCTCGGTTATCGGGCTGAGCGGGATTATTCTGGGGGCGTATGGCGGGGTGAATACGTACCATGATTGGTTGGCCGGGGCCAATATGGGGTTTAGGGATCTCTGCACTCGAGAGTTTTGAGGGAGTGAAGCTATTATACCTGAGCGTTGGTTAGGTGTCTTGTTGACTCTTATACTGTTGTCAGGTATGCCGTTATGCTGTGTGAGACCTTACTGCCTTATGCAGATGGGCGTCCCAAGGCAACGCCTAAACCAGTGTAGTTATAAAAAATATTTACTGGTCGCACATGGCACAATTTTTAGAATGAAATACCATTTCATACACATTGCTTTCATTCTGTAAGAATTGCTTCAAGCACAACTCCAACCCCGGAATTTCCACTCACCACTCTGAAGTATCTCTTCAAGCGAGGATCTCGATGTCAACATAGGTATAATTTGTATATGTTATAGGCTAGCTAGGTGCATGCTTATATAGAGTGCAACCCCTTACGTTATATCCCCTTGTACCACCTCATTCTAGACAGTTTGTTCTACGCTAAGATGGTATCAGAGTAGGTTAGGTCCGCCCACCCCCGCTTCCGCCCTAGCCACTAGCGCCCAGCTGGCCCTTAGCGCCCCACTAGCCCCGAATACCCCGCTGGCCCCGTTCGCGCCCCGCTGGCCCTGTCGAGCCTCGCTAGCCCCGTACGCCCCCCTGGCCCAGTCGAGCCCTGCTAGCCCCGTGCGCCCCGCTGGACCCGTATGCCCCGCTGGCCCCGTTCGCGCAACGCTGGCCCCATCGAGCCTCGCTAGCCCTGTGCACCCCGCTGGCCCCGTATGCCCCGCTGGCCCCGTTCGCGCCCCGCTGGCCCCGTCGAGCCGCGCTAGCCCTGTGCGCCCCGCTGGCCCCATTCGCGTCTCGCTGGCCCCGTCGAGCCCCGAAGCCCCGTGCGCCCCGCTGGCCCCGTACTCCCCGCTGTCCCCGCTCGCGCCCCGCTGGCCCCGTCAAGCCCCGCTCACCCTGTGCACCCCGCTGGTCCCTTACGCCCCGCTGAGTCCATTCGCGCCCCACTAGCCCCGTGCACCACGCTAGCCCTAGCCCGCCGGCCCTAGCTCGCCGGCCCCACCTCGCTGACTCTCGCTCGTAGGCCCTAGCTCGCCGGCCTCCGCTCGCTCGCCGCCCCTACCGCAGCCGGCCCCCGTTCCTGCCGGCCCCAGCTTCCTACGGCGTCGCCGTGCCACAGTGTTACCGTGCCGCAGTGCCACCGTGTTGCCGTCCCGCTGTGCCGTCGTGGCGCCGTCCTGACGTGGAGCCATACCGCCGTGTCGCCGTGCTGCAGTGCCGCGGTGTCGCTGTGCGCTGTGCCGCCGTGGCGCCGTCCTGCCGTGGAGCCGTGCCGCCGTGTCGCCGTACCGCCGTGTAGCTGAGGCCGTGCGATAGCGGACGCTGTGCTCCGCCTGGACGCGGAGGGGTGGGCGATCGACTTCGATGCGTGGCTTGTCGACCTTCGCCGTCACCTGACAGGTTAGCGCCAGGACGGTTACTCCCTGGCTGTTCATGTCGATGGTTTGCTTCCCCGCCCCCCCGCGCCTACAGCCCTCCCTGATGCCCCCACCACTGCTGAGCGTGAGGCCTTTTGTGCTGCTGTGCGTGCTCGCGCTGTCTGGGAGTCGCGCGATGCCGTAGCGCAACTTGCCATTAATCATGCCCTCCCCCTGTCTGAGCATCCCCGCTTTACCCTTCTAGCGAACGCCAAGGAATTCGTAGATGCAGTCACTGCGCGCTACTCTACGCCCGCGTCAGCCTCAGCTGACCGCATGATCTTTCCCATGTTGTTCCCTGATCCTGCGGCTTTCCCCACTGTCGCTGACCTAGCCACTCACCTCCGAGCACTTGAGGCTAGCTACCGCGCCGCTAGCACTAAGGCCCAGCTCACTTCCTTCCCTCCGCCGCTTTGTGCCACCCTTTACCTCATTGCCACGCGCCTCCCCGACCGCCTATCCACTACCCGCGACCACTTCCTTAGTAAGGACCCAGGTGACCTCACCCTTACCGCCTTTGTTACCGCCCTGTCTGAGATAGAGACCTGCCAGCGCACTATCGCTCAGTCTAGTGGTAGTGGGCGGTCCCTATCTTTGAGGACTGTGCTCCCTCCCAGTGTACTTACTCTGACGTCTCTGCTGCTGTCGCTGAGACAGCCCCTACTGATGAGACCGCTGATGCGGCCTCAGCGCAGCCGCATCAGGGTAGGGGCCGCCGCCCCAAGGGGGGGCGTGGCGGGGGGAAGGGTAGTGGGGGTGGTGAGGGTGGGGGCGGGGACGGTGGTTCCGACGAGGGGACCGGGTCTGGTGCCATGGAGCAGCAGCAGCCACAGCAGCAGCAGTCGCAGCAGCCGCCGTAGTAGCAGCAGCAGCAGCAGTGGGGCCGCCTCCCGCCGGGGTGACCCGATGCCTCTGGTGGTGGTGGACGCGGTGGTGGCCATCGCAGCTCGGCGTCGGGTGGTAGCTTCGGCGCTGTGGGTTGCCAGTACCAGCTCCAGACTGGCCCCTTCCGCGGCACTGTGTGTGATCGTACCAGTCACACTGCCGCCCGCTGCTTCCGCCGCCTCGACGATATTTTCCGTCTCCGCTTCGGCCCTACGCCTGGCCTTCCCGACTAGCCCAGTCTGGTGCGTCGCCATGTGTCTGTCTTTGTGATGGATATGGATCAGCTTTGCTCTGCCTTGCATGCCATGTATGCTGATGACTCTAGTGTGATCGGACCTTATTACTATGTGTTGCCTAATATAGGTATGCCTCCTGTGTGTAGTCTAGGCTCCCCTGCTGCGTCAAGCATAGGACCTTCTGCTTTGTTTAGCCTAGGCTACACACTAGCACCTCCGCTGGCTGCCGCTACCGTTTCGCTCTCGTTCACGCTTGACTCTGGTGCATCTACCTGCTTCTTCCGCAACCACACTGCGCTCACACCGCTTGCCACCCCTGCTGCTGTCGCGCTTGCTGACCCTTCCTCAGGTCCGGTAGTTGCCCGTACCTCCACTACCCTTCCCTGTCCGGCGGTTTCTTCTGGCTCCCTTACAGGCCTGCATATCCCCTCATTCTCCAGGAACCTAGTTGGTGTCGGTTGTCCTTAGGACCTCAGCGTCAACACTACGTTCCCTGGCCACGAGTTGTACGCAGTCTATACCAAGGCCGCCACAGGTACCCCCCTCACCACGTTTTCCCGTGACACCGAGTCCCCCTGCTGCAGCTTGCTCGTGTCGGTCCCTTACTCACCCGTCGCTTCTGTGGCACTACCGCCTAGGTCACCTCGCACTCCCGTGTCTGCGTCACATGTCTCAGCACAGTCTTGTCCTAGGTCTCCCTACGTCGCTCCCGGCCCCCCCTCCTTCGCCTGAGCCGCCGTGCACGCCCTCCGTCGAGGGCCGGCTACGCCGTGCTCCTCACTCTTCCTCGCTTCGCCCTGCCACCGCGCCACACCAGACCCTACACCTGAACATCATGGGGCCCAGCCCCTGTCCCCGGGCCGCGTCGAGAGAGCTACTTTCTAGTGCTTTTTGACGACTACACGCGCTACACCATGGTGGTTCCCTTGGAGCGGAAGGCCGACGTGCCTGAGGTTCTTATCCTGTGGATCGTAGCTGCGCGCGTCCACCGCGGTCTCTCCGTGTTGTGTCTTCACTCCGACCGTGGCGGCGAGTTTGCCTCCGGTCGGCTCGGTTTGGTTATGGAGGTGGCTCGAACCTCCACGATCCATGCTGGTGCACCCCATTTTCTGTGGCCGTTCGCTGTTCACTACGCCGCTCACCAGCTTAACCTGTGGCCGCACTCCCAGCGGCCATAAGTTTCGCCGGCCCTTCTCTGGAACGGGTTACCTGGTGACGCGTCCGTGTTCCACGTCTGGGGCTGCCTTGCTCACGTTCGTCCCTCGGGTACGGACAAGCTCACTGCCCCCCCCTGTGTCTTCCTTGGTTTCCCCTTTGACTCGTCTGACTTGCAATTTTACCACCCGCCGTCTCACCGCTTCTTTCACTCGCGTGACGTCACTTTCGACGACTCTGTTTCCTTCTACCACCGCTTTCCCCAGTGAGGTCTCCCGGTTTCTCCGCCCTTGTTTCTAGTTCCCACTCCCCCGGTAGACACTGCTCCCCTCCCTCCCCGTCTTGCTCCGTCTGGTGTGTCTCACGTCACTCCTCTCCCGTCGATTGTCCCTGTCGAGGAGTCGGCTAACTCTGACAGCCCCGCTGCGCAGTTCTCGCTGTCTGTTTCTCCTCCTCCACCATCGCAGCAGCCGTCGCCGTCGCCGTCGCCGCCGCCGCAGCAGACGCAGCCGCCGTCGCTGCAGCAGCAGCAGCCGTCCGTGAACTCTGGGGGTGCAGGCGTTGAGGAGGGTGCTAGTCCAGGGGGTACTGTCGTGGCTTGTCCTTGCGGTCCTGGGGGTGGCACCAGTGCTGGAGAGGGTTCTCGTTCTTGGGGTGCTGGTTTTGGGGGTGCTAGTCTTAGGGTTAATGTTTTGGCTTGTCCCAGCAGTCTCGGGGGTGGTGACGGTGATGGAGAGAGTTATGGTTTTTGGGATGTTGGAGTGGAGGGTTCCAGAGGTAGCCATGGTGCAGCTGGAGGTTCTGTTGTCGGCGAGGCGAAGCCGCCGCAGCAGTCGTCGTCGGTGTCCGCCTTGGCCAGCTCAGCCTTCCCTCCCCTGACCACCCGCCTGCGCCTCCCCTGCCGCCGCCTCCCCTGCCTGTCTACAACCCTGTCTTTCCTCCGCCAGACTCGTCTCCGGCTTGTTTCCCCCTTCGTTCTCCTCCATCCCATTTATGGTCTCGTCGTCCCTCTCGTGCTCGTCCTGTCTCTCCTGTCCAGCGATCTCACCCGATGTTGCTTCGTTCCAATGCGTCTCGTTCTCCCCTTCTCCCTTCGCATCCTCCGTCGTCGCTTGTTGTCACTCCACCTCCTCTGTCTGACTACCTTCATGCCGCTAGTCCTCTTGTTCCTCGGGTCCTTGCCTTCCTCGTTACCAACCCGTCTGTTTTTTGTCTCGGGTCTTGATGCTCTTGTCGCTGCTGTCAGTGACTTCGCCTCTACCCGCCGCCTTGACTACGCCAGCGCTCTGGTTTCTGACCCTGTCCGTACATCGGGGGTGCTCCTGCCCTTGGCAGTGACGTCCTGGAGGACCGGCAGTACGAGCTTGTTTTCTTGTCTGAGGCCGCGCCTCATGAGGGGGACTCAGGCGCCTTCGAAATCCCGACCCGTCGCACCTACGCTGAGTCGACCTCGACACTCTGGGCCTCTTAGTGGATAGATGCCATGGACGCGAAAATGGCATA